AGATAGATAGATAGATACCATGATAAGAAACAGCAGTTTGTTCTATGCTTTCTCTGTGCCACCATGGCCTGTCCTGTTGTTCCAAACCAGGACTGTGGTTTCTATGGTCCTAGTGTGCAAGTACCACAAAGTCCCCTGGAATGAATGTCAACTGCTCTATGTGTTGATCAGTGAGGAAGAGGCGGGCAACACAGACAGGGAGCAATGCCTGATTGGATTTCATGATGGGAAGCATGCCAGCAGTGGGTGGACTGAGCAGGGAGGATGGAAAGCAAAATAAAGTAGGAAGCACTTGATTGCCTGTCAGATGGTAAAAACCCATGAATCATCATGGTTCATGAACCATCAGATGGTACTAAGCATTGTTGTATCTGGGTAGAATAAGGCGCTCCCTAGAAGGTATGTATGAGGCAGGGTGTTGGTTACTCCTATGTTGTCTCCTATATCAGAGTAGCCTTATTAGATGCCCCCCGATTTGAAGGGACTGCTGCTGAATGCCAGGCCAATGCACGGGAAACCAACAGACATCTAACATGAGCACGAAGCATTCTGGGTGAACATGTTGACTTGGTCTGCATCCTGAAGATCTGGTTGGATAAAGCTGGAGAAGAAAATCTCTTCCAGCTTTAACCACCTGGGACCTCCGTGCTGCAGCAGCCAAGACCTAGCAGGCAGAGTTGTGGTGGTCTAGTGTACATTGTCTCCTCCTCAGGTTTCCTTTGTGTTTATTTGAAGGAGTGTGTTTGGGACAGAATACAGATTCTGTTGGTGCACTACCCCTCCCGCTACTCAACTGCCTCCCTTCCTGGGCTTGCTTAGCTGCTCTCAGGTTCGGGGTGGGAGTCTCTATGGCATGCTGTGCTAAGGGGCTTCCACATGAATACTGAGGCCGCCTTGTTGGGAGAGCCTCAGAAGTTCATGGCAACCATAGCAACCAAGGGCTGTTGCAATTAGCATCAGTCTCCGCTCATTCAGCAGCTCACACTTCTGATCTGGTTTTCTTTGCAGGTAAGTCCTGGAGGAGGAGAAACTTTCTATAGTTGTCATTTACAGATCACTACCTGGTAGAGTTTAGATTTGCTCCCCAGCAGCAGAACCAGAGGAAGGAAGGCGTCACAAGAGAAACAGCATGCTCTTTGTGTGTGTGTGCGTGCACATGCACACTTGGATGTTTTCCCCAAGGCAGCAGAGGAAGCAAAAAAGAGTGAAAAGGGGAGTTTTCATCTCTTTAAATTAGGATAGCTGAAAAGGGTGGACCATGCACCCTGGTGAGTAACAAGTGCTGCATGTTCACCCCAGCCAATTCTTCGGTTTTCAATTTGAGAGGAGGAAATAAAAACTCTGGTTCGTGGGAAAGATCAAATGTTTTAACCTGTGCTCCTTTATTGACTGGAGCCCCAGTACCTGCACTCACTAATGATAATGCATTACCAGGTAGGGGCAAACTCAACTACAAAATCACAGTCCATGTACAGACACTTTTATAACCTGCTAGTCACGTACACCACTACAGAGTGTTAAGTTTCCGGATAATCTTAGTACAATAGCATCCTGATGTCTTTAGGCATGACGATGTTCTAAACCATCAGAAATACTGGGAACAATAGGATGGAAATCATTACTGATTGCTGTATTGATAGGTCAGTCCAGCAAATTCTTGACAATTCAGGTCAGCCGGGTCTGCCTGTTTAAACCTGCAAATGTGTCTGACGGAGGAGCCCTTCAGGAAGTCTGCTTTGACAACTACACTCAGGCTTGCCTCTGTGGGACCCAGGTGGGCCCCTTCAGAAGCAAATGGGCACCATTGTTTCAGCTCTGCACAGGTATTTTCCTCCAGCAGCTTCTTAGTCTAGCTAGCTAATAATGCCATCTTCTTAAGGCAACAGCAACCTGGCTTGGAAAGCTGGTGTTTTGTGAGAAAGAGGTGTGCATTTGCTTTTATAACACAAAGGCACATATAAACAATGTTTTTCTACCAGGATTTATCTGAAATTTCCCAACACCAGTCCATCTCCAATCATCTTAACAGCCCTGACAGAGCATACCAAGAGTTCTTCGTTCAAGCTGTTCTTCAATTGTACACCCCAGCATGCCTGATCTTTCTGGTTTCCCTTGTCACCAGGAGGAAGCTCGGGATATGCCAGAAGTCGCTGCAATATGAGGTAAGGAAGAGGAAACCGAGTGGGACATGCAGCTGTGCTCCCCAAAGCATTTCCCTGAAATGAGCTGGCTTAGCTACAGCACAATGCTGTGCACAACTGGGCAGAAAAACCCATGCAAAGGACTGGGCCCTTGCTGTCCTGATTTGAGGAAAACCAGGGGTACAGAAACTGGCTTTGCCTAGAATTCCCCCACCCCCATACTTCTGAACTAAAAAGGAGAATGTGGATGATTTGAGATAATGGTTTCGATATAATTACATAGCAGCCCCAGCTTTTAATGACAGCATGTACCTCTTTGTCTTCCCCACGTCTTTCTTTTCATGTTAGTATAATCTGGTGAAGCTATTTCCTTGACACCATCTGTGGGAGGGACAAAATATTAACCCCCCACCCACACCCCTGCAGCTGGAGAGACACCACTCAAGCACTCAAGGGAGAAGGGCTGTGGCATCACATTTCTTGACTCAGATGTGTCCCTGGATTTACAGGTTCAAGCTGCAGCTCTCGCAGGAGGCTCTCCTCTGCAGCATGTATGGAAAATGAGGCCTTCCATGGAGCGGGGGACCCCAAAGCACTTTGCGGGGGTTTCTTACCTTGTTGCCCTGGTGTTGCATCACAGTAGTCCAAGTCTATGCCTCAACCACAGATGCTGAAGAGGCTGAAGTTGACCGGTTCTATGAAGGCCTACAACACCTTCTAGAATTAACACCGAAAAATGATGTCCTTATCATCATGGGGGTTTGGAATGCTAAAGTAGGAAGTCAAAAGATAACCGGAATAACAGGCAAGTTTGGCTTTGGAGTACAAAATGAAGCAGGGCAAAGGCTGGCAGAATTTTCTCAAGAGAACACGCTGGTCATAGCAAACACTCTTTTCCAACAACCCAAGAGGCGACTTTACGCATGGATATCACCAGATGGTCAACACAGAAATCAGATTGATTATGTGCTCTGCAGCCAAATATGGAGAAGCTCTATGCAGTCAGTAAAACTAGACCAGGAACTGACTGTGGCTCAGATCCTGAGCTTCTTGTTGCAAAATTTAGGCTTAAACTGAAGAAAGTAGGGAAAAGCACTAGGCCACTCAGGTGTGACCTAAATCATATTCCCTATGAATATACAGTAGAGGTGTCAAACAGATTTAAGGGATTAGATTTGATAGACAGAGTGTCTGAAGATCTATGGACAGAGGTTCGCAACATTGTACAAAAGGTAGCAACTAAAACCATCCCAAAGAAAAAGAAATGCAAGAAAGCAAAATGGCTGTCGGAGGAAGCTTTACAAATGGCTGAGGAAAGAAGGGAAGCAAAAGGCAAGGGAGAAAGAGAAAGATACACGCAATTGAATGCAGAATTCCAAAGAATAGCTCAGAGATATAAGAGGGCCTTCTTAAATGAACAGTGCAAAGAAATAGAGGAAAACAATAAAATGGGAAAGACTAGAGATCATTCCAAGAAAACTGGAGATATGAAGGGAAAGGGAAATATGAAAGGGAAAGGGTTTCATGCAAAGATGGGCATGATAAAGGACAAAAAATGGCAGGAACCTAACAGAGGCAGAGGAGATTAAGAAGAGGTGGCAAGATCACACAGAGGATCTATACAAGAAAGACCTTAACATTCCTAATAACCACAATGGGGTGGTCACTGACCTTGAGCCAGACATCCTGGAGTGTGAAGTCAAGTGGGCCTTAGGAAGGCTTAGCAACAACAAAGCTAGTGGAGGTGACAGTATTCCAGCTGAGCTATTCAAAATCTTAAAAGTTGATGCAGTTAACTGCTACACTCAATATGACAGCATATTTGGAAAGCTCAATGGTGGCCACAGGACTGGAAAAGGTCAGTTTACATTCCAATCCCAAAGAAGGGCAAGGCCAAAGAATGTTCAAACTACCATACAATTGCACTCATTTCACACACTGGCAAAGTTATTCTCAAAATCCTAAAAGCTAGGCTTCAGTAGAATGTGGACTGAGAACAACCAGAAGAACAGACAGGGTTCCAAAGTGGCAGAGGAACTAGAGATCAAATTGCTAACATACACTGGATCATGGAGAAAGCTAGAGAGTTCCAGAAATACATCTACTTCTGCTTCATTGACTATTCTAAAGCCTTTCATTGTGTGGATCACAACAAATTGTGACAAGTTCATAAAGAGATGGGAGTACCAGACCATCTCATTTGTCTCTTAAGAAACCTCTATGTGAGTCAAGAAGCAACAGTGAGAACTGGACATAGAACAACTGATTGGTTCAAAATTGGGAAAAGAGTATAGGAAAAGAGTCCATGGGGTCGTGGTGGGTCTGCCACGACTTTGCGACTAATGAAGAAGAAGAAGAAGAAGAAGAAGAAGAAGAAGAAGAAGAAGAAGAAGAGGAGGAGGAGGAGGAGGAGGAGGAGGAGGAGGAAGGGCAGTCTTGCCCCTCCCTTATTTTTTCTTATCAAAAGATACCTCTCTTTTCTGGAATGTGAATGTATTTGTCCAATTTCCCAGGCCTTCAAGCACCAGTTAGCAAACTAGTGAGGCCTTGCCTTTCCCCTCCGTCTCTTGCTTAGTAAGGATATTTTGAGAAAAATGAGAGAAAGCAAACAGCCAAACTTAACATGTGGTTCATCCAGACACCTGTTTCACTTTCTTGTAAATCGTCTTGTTGTACAAACAAAGTTATCAGCCATATTGCGTGGATTTGACCTGGTACATGAGGCAACATCTGTGATGGGGTTTTTTGTGGGAGGGGAGGGAGAGGAGGGAGTGAGCAGAAAGAAATGCAGATTAGCTGCTCAGGCATTTTCAGCCTCAGTACTTCGGATGCAAGAGGAAGGGGTGTACCCCTTTCTTTCCTCAGTTATTGCTTGTAATTCAGTTACCACCTGGCAGAGAGCTCATGCAGAGGAAAAAGGCAGAGCAGAAATAGAGACACTGAGAAAAAGAGGTAAATGCACAATTTCATTGTTATTAACCTGTCCTTTAATTCACCAACAGCAGGATATTTTTGGTTAGTTTACCTGATAACCTGACACATTTACACCATCCTCACTTGACCTTCATGCGAGTTATTTTCTGGGGATGTGAAAGAATAGCCATTCTTTGTTTATAGAAGCTAATTCATTCTGCTTTAATATGACTTTCTTTCAAGGAGGCTCAAAAGCCATTCAAAACTGTGCTAGCTTCTGTTTGTTGATGTGGTATCTGACTATTGCTCAGCTTTAGGGGCTAAATTTCACCTTTCTCATTAAAACTTATCTTTTAACTTCTAGTTTCTCTGGTATCACTAGTTCTTTTCAGGGAGAACATGAAAGAGGAGTGAGGGACCTGGAATTCTATGTGTAAATATATATTTATAAACCTATCAATTTATTTGAAAGATCTGAAGCCTGATGAGACTGTTTGAATGGAAATTCACTCATTCTGGATCTTATTTTTTCCTTTTAAGGATCAGTTTTGCATTACATGTATTCTGCTTCTTTTCTGACATGTTATTTAGTGATCTGTCCTAATGTCTTTCTTCTCTTCTCCTTTTTATCTTTTCCTGCCATTTTTGATTTGTGCATAAATGCTTAATATGCTTCTCCCCACCCTTCGGGGGAAAAGTTTCCTGAGAACTTCTGGTGGCAGCTGAGGCAGGAAGGGTCTTCCTTCTGAGAAACCAGTGTTGATGGCCCACCAAGCAGTTTATGCTTCTTCTTCCACCCCCTCAAGGCCAGAGGGTTGCATTTGCCATCTCAACCCCACCCTCCACACATTCTTCGGAAGTCTCTCTCTGCGCAGCTGGACAAATGTGCACGAACAATTGCAGACATCAAAGGATTGATTCAGACTTTTAAATGATCACATGCAGAAGCTGGGTAAAGAGACAGCAGGTGTGCCTTTGATTCCCTCCTGCAAATTCAGGGGGCATCTGAACAGAGCTACTGGGCGTTCGTAAGGCTAATGCATCCTGGCAATAGGCTGGGCTGGGCGGTTTCTTGAACAAGCAACATTTTGGGTTGCTTGCCCCCTACCCGCTTTGTCTTCTCACAAGTATCCTGTGGACTCTGTGTCTGCCCTCACCCCACTGTGCTCACCCTGGCTTTTTTGCCCTTTAATTGTCTCTTCTCACCCCACCCTGTGGAGATCACACGCTTGGGCTTAACAGCCAGTGTTTTTTAATATCTGATAGCCTCTTCAAATTGTCCAAGTTGGCAAACAATTAAAAAAAATGGGCCCACAATGTGTACAATTTTTAAAAAATCACCTGCACGTGCACAGCTGTGTGAATGTGACAATTCGAAACCTCCCTTGGGTCAATGATCGAGGGGATACATGCTGTCAAAATGCAGTAGGCAGCAACCTTGAACATTGCCTCAAAGCGATTCTAAAGATGCATTTTCTCTCTTTTACTTTTCCTTGAGAGCTGACAAAAGGTGAGGTGCCATGCAAAAACCGGTGTTGTAGCACTGTAGCTGCTTTCTTGGGTGAAAAGCTAGCTGCCAAGACCCCAGCTTTAAAAGGGGTTTTTGACAGGGAAATTGCTGTTTCTTTTTGACGGTATCACCCAGAATCACGCATTGTCCTATCGAACAGGGTACCGTTATGTTGTGTGAATCCATTCACTCTGTCTTTCCTCATGGTGTTCATCTCTCTATTTCTTTTGAGGCTTTTCTAGCATTGCCTTTTCTGAATGGCTCATTTGTGCATATAGTATTCACCTTCTTTTATTACTCATTTCACGCAATCATTTTCTTTTTGCATCCGTTGCGGCATCTCCTGCACCATGACATATGCCGTGAAAAGCCTGACTCAAATTTCTCAGGGCATTTGTTTCTACTTGTTTTGACTATGGTTTTAATCATCAGCCAGGAAATCACTGCTCTAGTTCATTTACATTTCCTTCATTCACAAGAGAGGTTTTCCTCATATTGTGAATCCCCACATTCTCATCTGGCTACTGGGGAAACAGCCAGAAGATCCAAGCACACACAGACTCCTAGGACATTTTGGTGCCTGAAGGAGGAAACAGGATCCATCAAGGAGTTCTATGCAAGCCACATCAAAAAGGTGGTGGTGAAGGGGGTAGCGGGGAATTGTGCAAGGACATGTTATTCTTCATTTGTTGTTTTGTTTTATGCTACTCATTTTTATTGTAAGCTGTCCTGAGATGCTAGTGGTGGATGGGGTAGAAAATTGTTTAATAAATTAATAAATAAAATTCCTATTTTTTTCTGGGACTTTTACAGGAAAACACCCCATGTGTAACTCTCCAACTCTGCTGTTCTTAACAGAAATATATACTTTGATTCAAAACAAAAGTCCTGCTTTAGGCCTGCTAGTTTAGTGGGTCATAAATGATCTCTGCCAACTGAGCATGGAGGAAGAGTGTAATGGACCGAGCAGGGGAATTGCACAATAAAAGCTTCCCAAGGAAGCACTGCGCATGTCAAAAGTGAAGACATGCTTTAGCTTTCTTGAGGTTTTGGCAGATGCCCTTGGTTTTCAGAAGATGCTCTTTGTAGTAAGTGGAAAAACGTTCATTCTTTTCAGAGGCAATGCATTATTTGTGGACGGGATATCATAGATGATATGCCCCATTAAAACTGATAAAACTGAGAGGAAGATTATGAAAGCCGCCTTGAGTTTCTTGAAAAGAAAAAAGGGTGGAATATAATACATAAATAATCGGTTGGATAATGCTATCCATTGTGCTGTTTTTCAGTCCAATATTGACTTAAGGCCCAGTCTGCAAAAAAGGCAAACTGGTCATGTCAAAGTTCTTGGCAGAAGAAAGGTCAAGACAAATGTGAGGAACTCACATGCTAGATTGTTCCAGGCATCGCTATGCAGATTTGAAGTTCATAGGCTTAATTATCCTTACAAAGACTGCAGGTCAATAAACCAAAGCATTGTTATGCAGATTTTGTTGACAGGCACGATACAAGAAAGATGAAGTCTTAAACTACTCGTACTAGCTGGAACTAAATCTGTTATTATGCCGAGACCAACTTCCAGGGAAAATAGTCAAACAAAAGCCTTTCATATGAAACACTTGCATTGCCTTAAGCAGTTTTGTTTGAGGTGACAAAATTATCCCACAGAGCCAAATTATTAATTTCAATACCACCCAACAGCAGAAGCTCTCTGAGCAGTTCACAACAGCACATTAAAAATACATAAAAATAAAAAGTACATTTACAGCACAAAATTTAAAACCAAATTTAAAACAGATTTGAAAAAAAACTTAGGACCTTCTTACCAGCTAGCTGGCCCTCGTGGACTGCTTGAATCCGCTGAGGTGGGGGACAGTCTTTACACGGCACTGAAAAGTTAGTAAAGTTGGCGCCATGCGGACATCAGTGAGGATTTTGTTCCATAATTGGGGGGTATTAAAATGTAGGGTATTTAAAAAAAGAAAAGAAAAAACAGTTTGAATATATAGCATGTAGCAAGTCTGAGTTTGAACATTTTTAATTTTACATTCCAATTTTGATTAGGACTGCAGGTTTGGGAGGAAGGTAGGCTTACCCCCAACACAAATCCCTTCTTCTCTGTAATTAGCCTGAGCGGGGAGGCATGACTCCCATTGACATCACCGATGGATACTGCACTTTGAGAGTATTTTGAAATATGCAGGAGAATATTTACCTGCTTGCAAATTCCTTACAACATTTCATATATGCCAGAATCCAGTTTTTATTTCAGTGAAAGTGCGTGTGAAAAGTTGGGTTTTAAATGTTTCAGCCTTAAATGTTACTTGCTTATGCAGTTGGCTATAGCAAGAGTTAAAATGCAGTGACCATCTCAAGTGGCAGATTTTGGGTGCCTCTATTTCCTTTCTCGTGGGTTTGTATTTTATTATGCTGCATGGATTAGGTTATTGTTATAGTGCATGGCCAAGAAGGTATTTGCTTACCAACTAAATAATCACATAAGGGAAAAGGAGTGGAAGTAAAGCAAAATATATTTTATAATTGTACAAGTTGTGCCCTCAGACCCCTTTCTCAGTGTCTGTGTGGGTACACAATGAAAAAATTCATTGCAGCCAAACCGCATCGTTAAAGCAAAAAAGAACAAAACTATGACACAATAAATTTTGAAAAAAATAGAGATCCATAGCATGAGTCACATATATATTATTATATAACAGATCATGCTAGTGTTATTAAAAATAATTATACATAGATTTAAAAAAGGTACCCCAAATATCCTTATATTTATAGATTACATGTAAAGACCACCTGTGCAAAAACTGAAAGTTTCATTGAATTCTTTACCAATTGTGTTATTCCGGGTGGCCATTTATCCTTGTAATGTTACAATATTAGTCTTTTGGCTGCCAAAAGGGCAAAGAAAATCCATTAACACTCACTTTTCCTTAAATTCCAAGAGGATAAGTAGGTAATTCAATAGAGCATGTGTATCCTGGAGTAGTAAAAAAACATTCCACCACAGGTTTTATCCAAATTCTACTCCCCCCCCCCACACACACACACACTGCCCCAAAGGAAGCTGCTGTGGCATGCCCAACATACACAGAGAAAAGAAGCTTTAGTAGCATTGCACCACCAACAATTGGCCAACTTAATTAAGATATGCCGAAGTGGCACAGAGCCCCGGAAGCCAAGCCCAAGGAATCCGACCCATCCCCACCCCAAAATGGATTCCCTACCTGTGGGAGTGGGGGCAGAGGAGGCAGGAAAGCCACTGCAGGTAGAGGGGGGCTATCTCCTTCTCAGGGTTTTGCTGGTTTGTCAAATCCTGGCAAGATACTTTTCCTTGCAGCAACTGACTTGAAACTACTCCTCCTCCCACTCCAACAGCAGAGCAAATTTAGCATATACTGGAATATATACCACAGAAGAAATATAACATAAAAACATTGTGATATGGAAATAGCATGAGGGATGACGGGGTGATGGGATGAGCATCATGTGTCATGCCAGTGAGTCAGGCGTTACA